TTCAGAAAATTGTTCTATTTATTGTCAGCTTCCACAGAGCACTTGTGAAAAGGGAAGGTTGTTGATTTACTACTGATACGACATAAATTCACAGCTCATTCATAAATTTAGCCAATTCTCTCCTAAAAATCTTATAAGAGTTTCTTCACATCCTGGGGCAGTTATGGCCTCAGTGTGGACATGAGAATGAATTTTAGTGGAGTGATTCAAAAGTCAGCTGGGCCATTTAAAGAAGTAAAGACTGAAGTTGGATGATGTGTCATTTTAGAGACAAAGTTATCAAATTCGTATTTGAAACATTGTGGTGTAATGTAGAAAACATTACATTCAGTTTGTAAACTCTAGGGTAACATTTGCCCAACATATTTGTTTCATACCGTCAAGAAACAATGCACGAATAACAGTAGGTGCTTGATTTACATACCTGTACACAACTTTATCTTAAAACATATACACTGCTACAAAGCTTCTACCCCGATACCCGAACAGTAAAGCATCATCACTGCATGTATCAAATAAATGACTTACACATTTAACCATGAGGTTGACATACAGAGAGCAGAGGAAGAGGTCCTCAGATCCTTACACTGAATTATGCCACAGTGTAAAAAAAATACTACAAGTTGCAAGTAAATAGAATAGAATAGAATCTTTATTGTCATTGTACACAGTACAACGAAATTGGGTGCAAACCTCAGGTGTAGAGAAAAATGTGTCAGTATCAAAAACAAAAAACTATAAACCACATAAAAATCACACATTGACAGACATAAACAAAAAACTATAAACCACATAAAAAATCACACATTGACGTTCAGTGCAATTATTGCTTTTGGGTAGAAGCTGTTTTTTAATCTGTTTGTCCGTGCCTTGAGACACCTGAAACGTCTGCCTGAAGGTAGCATTTCCATCAGATGATGCCCAGGGTGGGACGAATCCTCCCAGATCTTTTGGGCTTTCTTGAGGCAGCGGGAGTTATAAAGTTCCTCCAAGGAAGGGAGAGAGCAGCCAGTGATTTCCTGGGCAGTGGTGATGATCCTCTGTAGCGCCTTTCTCTCTGCCACTGTGCAGCTGGCAAACCAGACACAAATGCAATAGGTCAAAATGCTCTCTATGGAGCACCGGTAAAAAGACACAAGCAATTTCTGTGAGAATTGGTGCTTCCTGAGAACCCTCAGAAAGTAGAGTCTCTGCTGTGCCTTCTTAACTAGCTCCTTAGTGTTTGCTGTCCAGGTAATGTCCTCCTTTATATAGACTCCCAGACACCTGAAGACTGTCACCCTCTCCACATAGTCCCCATTTATGAGCAGGGGCTGGATAGCTGTTTTATTCTTCCTGAAGTCTATAATCAGTTCCTTGGTCTTGGTGGTATTAAGAGCCAGGTTGTTATCTTTGCACCATTTGAATAGCTGCTGTACCTCATCCTGGTAGGCCGACTCATCCCCCTCAGAGATTAGCCCTATCACTGTCGTGTCATCAGCAAACTTGATGATGGTGTTGCTGGAGTGGGTAGGATTACAGTCATGTGTGTACAGGATGTAGAGTAGGGGACTCAGTACACAACCCTGGGGGGATCCTGTATTGAGGTTAAGAGCTGAGGAGGTATGTGGGCCTACTCTGACTTTCTGGGTTCGGTCTGAGAGGAAATCCTTAACCCAGAGGCATGTAGAGTGGGGTAGGCCAAGGTCTACTAGTTTGGCCACCAATCTATGGGGAAGCATGGAGTTGAAAGCAGAGCTAAAATCTATGAAGAGTAGTCTTGCATAACTACCCTGCTGCTCCAGGTGAGTCAGAGCAGTATGAAGCATCCTCCGTAGACCTATTTGCTCTATAGGCGAACTGATGAGTGTCCAGTGTTGGTGGTAAGCAGGAGAGAATGTGTTTTCTCACCAATTTCTCAAAGCACTTCATGATGACTGGTGTAAGTGCCACTGGACGGTAGTCATTCAAGCTCTGGATTGTGGGCTGTTTCGGAATAGGGACGATGGTCAAGGATTTCAGGCAGGGAGGTACAGTAGTCTGAGACAGAGACCGGTTGAAGATCAGGGTGAAGATTTTAGCCAGCTGGTCTGCACAGTCCCTCAGCACTCGACCTGATACGTCGTCTGGTCCCGTAGCTTTACTTGGGTTAATCGTCCTCAGCATGTCATGCATTCAAAATTTTACTTAACTACAAAATTATTATTATAAAGAACATACTTGAAGCACCACAAGTTAAAGTACTCATCATACAGAACAGCACATTGCACATGAATGTATATTATGGGATTATAATTACTGATGTTATTGTGTTAATCACTGTAATGTTGGAGCTGGTAAAGGTGAAGCTAATTTTAACTTGTATGTATGCCGTAATTGAGTATTACAGTATATGTTTGGAATGTAATGAAATTAATTACGTTACATTAGTGCTGGGTAGCTTGTGAATTTCACCTAGTGATCAATAAAGTTTCATCTTATTATTATAGCGTATTTTGTATTACAAACTTGAAAATGAAAAATAACTATTAGCACCCTTGCCTCTACTACATGTGGCACACATGCATGGCCACAGTACTTAGACAAAAGACCACAACCTTACCTGATGGTGTCACTGGGAAATAGGCTTACAATCCCATTTCTTAAACATCTAATTTAAAAGCTGTTAATTGTCTACTTTTTCATAATCCAAAGTAAAACTGTATTCAGAACAACTCTCTGTTTCTGTTCCAGCAACTTGTCCATTCACACTTTGGCAAACAGTGACGTCAACTGTGGCTTGATACTTCAATTACTTAATTAAGGTCACCTGGCTGAATGCTGCTCCACCTTTGGCCACGCCCACTGCCCCAAACAAACCAGAGCGTTGCAGTTTCACCCCTGATGAAACTCAAACGAATTACTGTAGGAAGTGTCATTTACTGTAATACATTCCAGAATATTATCTTACTGTTTCAATATTTGCATACCAGATTAGGCTAGACTGGATGATTTATACCACTAATTATACATTATATGGTGATAATATGGTGATAACTCTGGAGTCCAATCAAGAGTCGTACACAGCGATGACTGACAGATTCAGCATCAGCAAAAGCACAATTTATGCACACAGCTATCAATTTTGTTTTCTTGTCCAAACCCTCTTGCCACATATTTCCTCATCAACAGGACAGGCTTCTGGGTTTTAAAAACATCAACATACATTCCTATAGTCAAGCTACATTTGACTGTATCATATCTAAGTATTTAGACATGACTGAACTGCATCATGTCTTTGTAGACAGTAGTTCTACTGACTGGCTCTTGAGCAAGCTTTTAGCATCCACGTAGTTCAGTTCAGACATTAAGGATATCAGAACTAAAGTCACAGCCTGTTGCATTTTCTTTAATATTTGTATAGAACTGGATAAGTTGATGACAGTGTTTTATAAAGACAACAACTGACCACAACCCAACAACTGCAACAGGCTATATTTCATCAGAGATGATGATTTGTGCTCATAAGAAAACATATCATCCCCACTTCTTTTTAAATGCTTTGTGAAATGGTGCGCAGTGTTCTACAGGGTGTTGGAGGCATTTAGGATCGCATGTAAACTTTATCATCAATATCTAATTTCATACTTATTCAGGGTAATCTGGTGGGCTTCAAAGCATTATCTTCATTAACTTCTGATGTAAATGCCTCTCTCCATCATAGAGACTCCCACTGGGCCTCCAAGTGTCAGCTCACAGAAATTGGTGATTAGAGCCAAAGTAAGCCCAAGATCTGTTTTGCCCAGAGATACAGTAGGGCAGTACTTCATTTGTAAACTGTAACCATCCAACCTCTGTCTGCTTTGTGAGTAAAAGAAGAAAATATCATAGCTGCTGTTGAAATTTTAAACCAAAGAGCTCTAAAGTCAGTCACCAGTAAGCCATTTTTCATATTGCATGTGGCTGGTGCAAACAGAGCATAACTGCACTGCCAGGCAGTGAAATCCTGAGTTGCCTTGACATCAGTGTAAATCTTTTTTTTTTGTTCTAATTCAGACAGTGATCAGTGCTGATTAATTCTCCTCAGGCCTGGCTAATCTTAAACAAGCCCAGAGATGCCACTGGGAGATTTCATTAGTTCCTCCTCTTTGACAGAAAGTCTGCTAATCAGTGAAATCAGTTTCTGTTGTCCTGTAGCTCTTCATCACACAGATGCCTAGGGGTGCACTCCTGAAAGGCTAGAAAACACAAGGAGTTCGAGAGATGACAAAGCCTATATGTTAGTTTGGCAACACTGAGTCCAAACATAAGATTTAATGTTGACAAATCACTTTACCAGTATTTGAAATGTGGACACCACATCCCTCCAGTAACTCACAACTTTCAGCTGTGAATCAGAAATGCTGTAAACATTTATCAGAAAAGAGTGTGGTCAGTTTATAAAGCTGCTAAAGTGGCATTGTTCAGGTTGATATGTGGTTCATCCTGTGGTATCTCCTCTTCAGCAGGCTCCCTGAGCACTGCTTTTCTTAAATGATCATCCATTGTTTATCAGCTGATGAAGATCAGCATCATATCAGCCATCTCATGTGTCACCTGCACTCCATTCATGTTAGAGGGTTTTCCCACCCTTGCTAGTACATAACAAGTGGCATTCAAGCACAGCCAAATGAAGCACAGCCCAGAAACATTGTTGCAAAGCTGTGGTTTGCTCAGAATTTGTAAGAGTCAAGTTATTTTTTCCCTTTTATGGCAAAATAGGCATTTTATAAACAAGTCCTTTCTTATGTCACATTTCATAATTGTGCCACCTACTTACAGTCTTAGACAAGCAGTAAAATCATCTGTGTGCAGTCTATTTCTTTATAACAAACTCCTGATGACCCAGCTCCAGCTACTGTACCCACCTTTCCTACTTTGTACGACAACATTTCCACAAAACACTGGAACTGTAATAAAAACTGCTTTGGGTGTATTCTGAGTTAAAACAGACAGACAGTTAAATAGACAAAGGTTTTCAGTTTTTGGATATGGGTCTTTATTGGCCTCCAAGGAACATGTTTAAACAATGACAATAGCAAAAATAAAAACAACTTAACTAAAAACCTTAGGCTTCTGTCCACTAGCTACTCCTCTACCTGTAGCACATTTGAATACAGCTCAAGTGTACCTCCCAGTGTGACGGCATAATAACTGAACACAAATTGAAAAATGCCTTTTAGTGGTTGGATTTTGTTTTTCTTCAGCACAGTCAGATGTAACCATTGTCCCATTTTCTTTTTACCTATATGCCTGCTGGCTGAACTGCTGCTGTGCCTTGGCTTCATCTGTGAGGAATTGTTTAGAAAAATGCTTCTTCTATTTCCACCATTAGGTGCTTGCTACAACATAAGATACTGTACATGCACTGATTTGAGAACAATTTGGTTGAGAGATGTGTGTTTCAGTATGCAGAACTAATGTGGTTGTACAATAGTATATTCACTTCACTGGAGTGTTTTTCCCAGACGGGGTATGAGAAGGGATACCTACATTAGCTAGTAATGGAAAACTACCCTCTGAAAACAAGTCCTCCTTGTTTTCTCTTGGAAAAATACGGCAGCACCATATACTGTATGCAGAAAGTGACACTTTCAGTTCAAAGGCACCAGGTCTATCTCAAAACCTCAGTCTTACGTTCATATGACACAGTTTGCCTTACTAACATAAGATTTGATGAAAATAAAATGCCATAAGATATGAACCATCCATGTCCATGTACTGTATATCAGCCAAACTGCCTCTGAGAGAACCATGGAACTAGTTTGTGCACCTCTGTGTGAAAAAAATATCTGATCTAATTATTTGAATTAACACTAAATTCTGATCTCAAGTGGCAATCAACTGCTATCATGGCATTTCTGACAACTGCAAAGATGCCAAAGAAGCCAAACCTTTATGCTTTTTAAACAACTCCTCTTAAGAAATGTGCCAAACTTCAGCAGTAAGAATGCAGTAATCTGCAGTAAACATACAGTAGATAGATCTTTTTCTGAAATGCCCCAAAAAGAATCTCTCAAAAATTGCCTTTTTTCAGTTGACATACATACAGTTTTAATGATATAACATGTAGGATTTGTGTCACAGGTTGTATGTATGATTTATTTCACAGTTCTAGCATGTTAAGAGTCAAAATGTTTTTCATCTGAGAGCACTGCTACACTTACTCCTTAAGTGGCAATTGAACTTGTACCTGTTCGACTGATCCTTTCAATCACAGCACAGAACATTGATCATCATCAGTCAAACATATCTATTGTTTGGTGGAGGATGTGCATCCCATTTAGTTCTCCCACTTGGAGTCAGCTCAGATCTCCTCAATTTGTATATCCCAGATCTCCTTTCTTTCAGTCCCCTATGTTTCAGACCCCATCATTTGTTGTTGTAATTTCAATATGCATTTTTATTATGTTTCTTTAATTATTGAAAATACAGATGGTTAGTACTGGTATCAAACCTGGCATTCCTTTGGTTTCCCTTGTACTAACCTCATAACATTTGATTTGGTTTTCCTTTCTGAAAGTGAAATCTCTTACTATCCTCAAGCAATTTTAAGTGTGATGCACAATGGATTGCCTCCATTTTTACATCTCATTAGGTAGGTAGGAGGTAAACTGATTCCTACCCTGTACAAAGACAAGAACTTATTCAATACTTGAAACAAAGACAGGAACATCTTTATAAAAAAGAATCAATAAAAGATCACTTTCACATTGTGGTGGATAGTGTTTTGTACTATATTTGCACTGTAAAATGTACAAAATATTACCATGATGTTAGCTAGTGATCTGCAATCTTATTCACAAGCACTTTGAAGCATGTTTATTTATTTACAACATACAGTGTACTCTGAAACAGTAACACATTTATAAATAAATATTGCATTCTTATCAATCTTAACAGTTCCCCTTTGTTATTGTCGATTCTTCATGACTCTTCACCTGAGCTTAACGAAGGTGAGGCAACCTCTGCCTGTTCTCTTCTCTCTCCTTCCTTTCACTTCTGTTCGTATGTGCTATCATTCACCAGCAGCTCTATTGATTCCAGTCTGCGCCCTTGGCCTTTCTTTCCTTCCTCACCCTCTCAAATGTTAATTTAAATAAATAAATCTCTGGGAGACAAGCAAATCATATATCCTTAAACTCTTAGTAAGTCTTTGAAATCAAAAGCTACAATTAATATGTTTCCAAATTTGAACAAAATGAGGAAAAACATATTAGAAACATTCTATTTATCAAAAAGGCCAAAAAAGGGAAAAATATATAATGTTCAGCAAGAACAAACATGTTTTATGAACCCATATCTATTCATTAGATATTCAAGAGTGTCCTCCATTTCCATATTTAATGTCATTCAATAAATCCTGCTAGCTCCCATAACACTGCAGGTACTCTGATCCGTCTTGTTCCACACAGTTTCTACTTTAAATAATCCTCAGTCAGGCTTTGCAAAGCCCAAGCAGCCTCCTTTTATGTGAGACACCTCAGTCAGCCCCCCTCTGGTTTACACACAGTATTTCACTGTGTACTTTAGTTCACAAATTTCCTACTGCTGTCCAGTCACAGACAAGGAGAGAGGCCAGGGGATGGCAGGATTGGTTCTGAATATGGGGAGAAAAACGTCACTGGCTGGAAGGTTTCAGGAAACTGGAAGTAAGCCTCAAATACGGCTAAGGTGCCTTCCCGTTTGTAATTGTGCAAGGTTAAATGCCTCCGTCTTGGATCCAAGGGAGAAACAGTCTTTTGAAAACTCATTTCCGACTCTCCACACATTCGGTTGTTTGAGGAAAGAGCAAGATTGCTTAAATATGGCAACTCTCACCGGTGACTGTAGAATGTCTGAATCTATAGTTGAGTACTTGGAATATATATATATATATATATAATTGTTTTTTTACATGTTACATTTTACTTATGAGCAATGCCAAAAGGAAATGGGTATGAAAGAAGAACAAGAACAAATGTATTATTGATGTACATCTGTTCTTTAGAGAAATCAGTGATTTATTATGTAACCATTCAGTAGACTTGGCAGATAAATAGCAGGTTTATAAATTAAAGTTAGAGCTCCCAATAATCAATCAATAGCCACAGCCATTGTTGGAAATAGACCATTAGATAAAAAAAGACTTCTGAAGTCAGGACAGGACTTGCCATCCTTGTTTAAATGAATAGTGGCTTAATAATGTTTATCCAATAAAATACCCTGAATTTACTGTATAGTACAATGGTTTACTGGTATCCTGAAAATAAACATTCATAACCAATAGTGACTTTATTATTGATTTTTATGGTAAGAATTTCACAGTAAATAATAATGTTATTTATTGATTGCTACCATTGATTTCAGTGTGAGCTAGTGATGACAGTATGCTTTCCATAGCCTACAGGGAGCTGAATGTAAGCATCCCTTACACTGTTTGTTCAATAATCTTCACCACACTTCATGTTCCCTTTGCTGTTCTCATTTATTCCTCCTATTCTCCCTCCCTTCATCCATTGCAAAGGCATTACAGGTGATTTGACCTCATTGTCCATCCTCCCCCTGCTGCACTCATCCTCTCTCCCATCAGTCACAGATTGTCTTGTAGCCTCTCCATGTAGGTTCTGATTTCAGACTGACCCAGGTCCATATCCTGGCACACCCACTTGATGTCATCCTCACTCCCATTGCTCACCAGGACTGAGGAGTTGGTGTACGGGCCACCCCCACCCGAATTATCATTGGGTAGAACAGTGGCAAAAGATGTGAACTTGACACGTTTGCGTTTGGCAGCTGCTGCTGATGATGCCGACATGGCTCGGGGGGAATTATTCAGATGCTCTGCTTGGCCAGTAGCATCTTTGCCACCAGCAGTGATTGCTGAAAGGCACTGATGTGGTTCTGGGACAGATCTGGGCAAGGTTTGTCCATGGGTGATGCCCCGGTGTCCACCTGTGCTACCACTCCTGCTAATTGTGCCCATGCCTGTGCCCACACCCATCACCAAGGTGTTACCAGCCCCATTGAGCAGGTACTTATTCTCCTCATATCCTCCATCATTCCGGTCAATAATGGTGGTGCACTCATCCGGCAGCCCACCATGACACTGGTCTGAGTGATCAGCCAAAAGGTCAGCCTCGTTGCCAAGCCACACCCAGTCATGGGCATGGTTCATGTTGCCTCCTGCCTCCAGCACAGGGACCTGCTTGTGGCGGTATCTGCAGATGAAAGAAATGTATCTGATTACGTTGGAAGTGCAATGTCGGGCTGTGCTGCTTTTGCAGTGGTGAAAGTGGGCACTCCTTTAGTAGACAGTAGGAAGGCACTGCACATAATTTATGACATGATGCCAGATGCATGAGTTAAAGCTCTGATTGTATTGTCCCAGCAAAATATTTTTAAAAGAGAGAGCAGTGCTTAGACTACACAACATGGCCAAATAAGTTAGGAGTAACTAAATGCTCTGTAAAAATCTTGTTTTTGCTAACTTCCAGTGGATTAACTATTCACCCGGTTGTGGGGATGTAGAAGTGTACACCAGGGTGTGTCAGTAGATGGCGGCATCACTGTGGGGTGTGGTTACACTTGCAACAGAGCATCTGACCACATCCAGACCCACTGATCAGTGATGCTGGGTGTAGTCAGAAGTGAAACAAACTTTGAAACCAGAGGGCTGTGGAACACTGCTTCTCAATGTGGTCATTAGTTACTCTTTAAAAAGGCATCACTATTCTTTCTCATAAACATTTAAAGAAGAAGATATTCACAAAGTAAACATGAAAGTGCACAAAACTGTCATGATCTGAAGATAGCTACAGTATAAGAACTAAAGTTACGGTGTATGTTAGTTTTGATTTGGACCTGCTGCATGAAACAAATAAAAGTTATGCAAACATTTCTGGATAAATGATCATATCGGACACCACAGTGGACAAACCAGATTTAGCTAAAACACAATGTCTTTCAGTGTCAGTTGTCACATGAGGAACCACATAGAGGTTTCAGAACCATGGCAATGGTGGATGGGAACCCCTTTATTTAATCTAATAACACAATGTCATCATTCATTAATGAACATCCAAATGAGTCCACGATTTCTCAGTGTTTTACCTGAAAGCAAAACTGACGCAGTTGATGAGGAAGACCAATATTGCCAGACAGAATACACCAAGAAGGGCATACATCCCAATCTCCAGGTCCGACAGGCCTCTGGTGGTCTGAGTCAGCTCGCTCTCTCCAGCTCCTGGCACCTCCACCTGTGCTGGGTAGCTGCTGTAGTCCCCTGCTTGGCTTGGACCACTGCCTCGGCTGCTGCTGCTGCCTCCCCTGGCAGGTTTACCACCTGAACCATGATGGGTTACTGTGCTCTTGGTTGTTGTGCTAACCTGGTAAAATGAAAATGAACAAAATCACTGGGTAATTTTTTTTTATATAAAGTAAATGTGCATTCAACCTTAGGAAAATTTGAGGTACTGACTTGTATTAGAGAAAAAGGTAAATTGCTCCACTTGTACTGTTCTAGTTACTTTAGAGATTACATTTTTACCTCCATTTGATACTCTCAGTGCTCATGTCATTTTATTTCACTGTACTATACAAGAATACAATGCTTTAAGATCTCACTAAATGAAATTATCCCTACAACAGCCCTGCCCATTTCTCAGCTGTCCATTATTTCCTCACACCTTCCTCATGGCTCCTTCCTCTCGATCCACAGCTGCGCCATTGGACTTCCACTCTCCTCCATCCTTTGTTCGTTGCTCATTGGTGCTATTGTCCATCCCCCCTCCATTCTCCTGTCCACCTCTTCCCATCACACCTCTTTCTTCACTCTTTGCTCCAAACTTCACAATTACATTACCAACTCCAGATGCCAGTACGCTCTGCCGTTTGGATTTCTGGCAGGTCTCAGAGATGACCATCTCTACACGAACCAGTGGGCCCTGTCCATCTCCCTCTGCTACTACAATTGGCCAGTGCTGTTCCTAATTGATGAAGACAGTGTGAAGATAAACAAAACAGAGGCCTTTAGTTAAGTTTTGCATCATCTGCAATATTCATTTGAACCGTCTGTAAAACTTTCATTGTAAGATTTTTCCACAGCTTTAACTTCAAACCTTTGATCAGGTAAAGGAAGCTGCCGCTACCTGATTAGTTATAGAGATGACACGCTCATCCACTGAGACAGCTGAGAGGAGGAAGTCCTTGGGATCATAGATATCAAGTGGGGTCACTGAACCATCACTATACTGGATCCACGCACTGATTACAGCTTCCTGAAAAAAAAATTATTACAAATCTAGCTTCCATATGAATCTGGCAAGCAAAGTAAAGTGTGTTGACAGCAGTTTAGGCACATGTTGGACCACCAATAGCATTTTATAAAAACAGTTTGTGTATAGGCAATCAACCTAAGCTGCATGTCTTTGGACTGTGGGAGGAAACCAGTGTAGACAGAAAGAACCCATGCAGGTACAGGGAGAACATGTAAACTCTGCACAGAAAGGCACTGGGTCGGCCAAGCCTCGAACTCGGAACCTTATCGCTGTGAGGCACCAACGCTAACCACTGCATCACCCTGCCGCCCATATTTACTATTTCCCATCCTGATTTATTCCAGTGATCAGGTATTTAAAGCTGCTAAACTGATATTGTTTAATAAAGAAAAGGGGTCACACAACTATATCTGAAATGTAAAAGGTGTTGTTTATGATGACAGCTCCACAGAGGATTATCACTGTCTATTTTGATTCAGTCTCACAAATCTCATCAGGATTGTGTGCAGATGTAGGCAGCTGTTTTTAGTGAAGAAACTCTGGTAATCCACTCTACATTGCCTGCTCAACATGAAACAATAAAGTTAGCAACAAAGTGAGGATGGTGAAAGGATTCGCTGACTTCATTCAGTGTGTCTGTAAAACTTCATAAAGTGATTGTGTTTACAGCGTATTCTGCAAGCAGCTGAAAAATAAATGTTTGCGGGTTTAAGATAATGGCACTGCATCTATAAGGAAATAAAATACACTAAATAAAATTTAAGTAGGTGAATTAATTAGGTGAAAGGTCAGATCTCTCCTTGTTAGATTTTAAGAGCTCTGTCTTGATGCCTTTAAGGCCCTTTTTTTGCAACCTGCTTTGTTGAGAGTCTATGAGGTGTTCATCGGTGTTGGGCTTGTTAGGCCAACAGTGCAATATGTTTTTTTTTTTTAATAAATGAATCAGCTTTTTGCCTCTCAAGCACAATGGAGATAAACAGTGCATTATTGCTCTTGGAACAAGATAGACAGACAGACAACTACATTCTCATCCATCCTCTCACACACGTAAACATAGATAATTGAAACCTAAACACCTCATTGTGTGCAGACACACATTTCCTTTATCTGACTCTCGTTTCTTTCTCCAGTCTCCGTCTCTTCCAATACAATAAAGAAAAACCTTTAGAAGAGGAATGTGTTTTGTCAACACTCATCTTCCAGTAGCGTCTATTCTATAAGAAAAAACTAAATTTCAACAACAAATGCATTTTCTTCTCTTCTGTTCCCTTATTTTTACCCCATTTTTTCCTTTTTGCTTTTTTTCACCTTATATTCTTCACCTCCTTATTTTTCCTCTCCAAAGTTGAGTCATATTTCTAGAGGTAATGGTGAAAGACACAGATAAAAGCAAACAAGTAGGGGGGAAATTAATGTTTGAATAAAACTCAGGATCAGATTTGTATTTTCATCATAATGAGCTGCTTCTTGTCCAATTAGCCCTGGGAAAGAAATTATAAGTTGGGGTGTTTTTTGATAAAAAAAAAAAAGTGGGGGAAGTGAAGCTGAGGAAAAATAGCTTGAGATAGCATGATAAACTAACCCTTGGCAATGTGATTAGAGAATCAGGAATAGCTTGGAACACGGTAGCATAGCTACTGTATATAGTATGCATGTGGGTGTTAGTGATATACTGTGGTTATTGCATGAAGAAGTTAAAGTGGGGAAAAGATATTTTTAAAAATATATTTTAAATGATATATATATAATATAAGTATATTTTAAAATGAATTATGAATAACAAAGTGTCTTTCTTTGGTTCTAGCTAACAGAGTATTTTGTTTGAGATTGTATATTTTATGCCTGTACAACCTGTAGACATTTAGATGGCTGTAACTGGAGCTAAGTAGTGCTATAGCCTTTCCAAACTGCTAATTAGAAAGTGATTATGGGAGAGATAGTAATGATATGATGCTCACAGCACAGAACTGCTGTTTAAGTTTGGGGGTATTACTGCAGCTTAAGATGAAGTCCATCACTTGTGTGTGTGTGTGTGTGTGTGTGTGTGTGCACACATCATACCATCCTAATGGCAATGAGGTTTATGTATATGTAGTATGCACACTCATTTATAATGTCGTTTGTAATGTTCATTTTATTTACTGTATATCAATGAGGCTAGTGCCACCTGAGTGTATGTATGTGCAAGCTACAAATGCAATGAAAGTAATGCATGTATGTGTGTGTGAATGTCTTTGTGGACCTATAGTAATTCCTACCTGTTTAGGTGTGTGTAGCAAGTCTGTAGCTGTAGTCGTTAGCTGGATAGCTTGATTATTTCCAGGATTTGTTGTCATACTGAGGGACAGAGATGCAACCAGCTGGACACCCAGGTCTGTGATGGTGACCTAAACAAACAAGAGATGTTGTAGGGTACTCACAAAAGCATCTAAGGCAAAAGTTGAATTTTTACTCATTTATTCTTATTTTAGTGGCTAGAAAGGACAAGAAAGGGATGGTTGTTATAGGAAATGAGGTTTGGTTAAAATACAGCAAAATAATTTTCTTGTTTAAAAAAAGAAATGAAAGCAAATTACTTCCAGGGTAGGGCAGACTGACTCCTTGTTGAAGTATGATGAAATTTTCATTAAACTCTGGAAGTCAGGCCGTATAGTCCAGTGATAATATTAAATTTAAAGCACCAAATGACATACACTATTTATAACTAGCAAGACACTGAATGTTACTGTGTACTGATCGGTTATACAACAGCCTAGTCTTATAATGTATTACTCAGTTTACAACACATATGAGCAATATGGGCTCAATTTCCACTAATAAATTGTGCTTCATGCTCTGTGAGGCACTTTGGTTGTTATTTCTTGTCATTTTTAGACTTGCATAGCAAGTGATTTGTAAGGTGGGATTTAGAACCTGTTTCCCAAATACATAAAATAAAGCAATATGTTATTTTACCCTGTCATCCAACACAGTCACAGTCTTCTCTGCCAGGATAGAGTCAGACAGTGGGGACAGAACCTGCAATGAAAGATCAAAATTACACTACCTGAAATTCATCTATATTACTGAGCTGCAGAAAATCTTCATATGTAAAAAAGCAATTTCTTCCAAATGTGAATTCCAAAAATGCTTCATTAGAAATGTATACTTCATGGCAGCTTTACATTCCCTGTTCCAACACCTGGCGTGTGGGGTAGGTCTTCCCACGGTAATTGTTTTCCCATTGAGCAGATGCAAGATTCAAGTTAAAAACATCACATTACTGTCAAGCTGGTTGACAGGTGATATAGAATGACAGCCCGTGTCTCAAAATGTTACAAGATGATAACAATGGGAAAAATAACATAATGCAGATCATGCTGTACTGAGTACAGGAAATATGGAAGTACAGGTATAGTGCAGGAAACTTGGACAGTATGGCAGAGAAGTGTATGAAAGAGGATTTTGGTGTCATCTCAATGACTATTGCCTTAAGGTACACTAAGAGAGAAGTGTCTAACACTGACAGTAAGAGCTAGTTATTATTAGTGTACCGGGCCACATAGACTGACAGTATCTATTAAAATTAGGAAATTAACACACACAAAATACACACAGCTTGGGAAGTGAGTTTTGTCTATGCACTAAATGTTATCTACAGCACCATTTCTTATGCACACATGGTATTGTCTGTGTAAAGAAAAGAGCTGGTTTGGAAACACTACTGTGTCATTTCACATCTCTGACACAATGTAACTCACACTTAATAGTGGAAACACATGGCCACTCATCCAGACCCACACCCACACACACTGTACATGTCTGCCTCCCAGCTTTGCTCCAGTGTGTCATCAGCACTGACAACTTAGCATAAACAAGCACAAGGCCAAAACTAAAGAACTAAAAGAGAGTGAATAAAAAAGAAGAGAGAGTGTGTAAGTGACAGATAGCCAATGAGCAAGAAAGAAAGAAATGGAGTAGGTGTCAGCAAGAGAGAGACAATGACAAATAGAGGAAGACAGAAAGTGAGGGAGGGCAGAAAGAAGGAACGCCAAAGAGACTGGGGTACAGATGGAGAAAAGGAGCAGCAGACAGACAGTGATAGAGATTAGGAACCCCATGTTGTAGTGTACAACTCCACCCGGTGACAAAAGGACAAGCAGATCTGATTGGTGTACAAAGAAAAACTCTCAGTGAACGAGTCAGGGCGTCAAACTCAATCGTACCCTCAGTGAAGTAACAAAACGTAATGATTGACAGTCCTGGGATTGCTCTTCAAGATAGACAGAAAATAAGAGGGTGAGAAGGAGATACTTGGGGAGAAAGGAAGGAGAGACATGGAAGAGAGGAAGAGGCAAGACTTGAGCAGACGGAGCTGGGTGTGTGTGTGTGTGGGG